CCGTGCTCTGTTGCATCAACAATGGGAATCAGTCTTGATCGTGTTACTGCAGGCTGAGGCTCACATTAGTACTGACTTGTAGTGTGGCTCACAGTAACAACTGAACATGTCCTGGAACCCTCTGGGTGACCATAGGTGTAAGTGTAAGCCTTCATCTGCAGCTGCAGTGCCTAGCTTAGCTGCTGTGAAACTGTTAGCGCTGTGACATGCCTCGTTTCTGTCAGTCTGTATCCCTCAGGCTACGCCTTAAGTCTCTGCCTGCATGTCTGTCACTCGCTCTCAGAGTATTAGGTGTGTGAGTCATATCAGCCAGCCTGCTGTAATAACAGAACAGTTCTGCCAGCGCTATCAAAGTTATAAAAGACAAAGAGAGGAGGGGGAGGCTCCCAGGCTGGTGGAGACTGACCTTACTTCCCGAGTCCTTGGGTCCACACTCCCCTTTATCGTACCACCATTTGTTTTTCAGTTTGTCTAAGACTCCTGCTTCACTCAGTTTCAATACGGCAAGGTTTACAGGCGTTCTTCAAATCACGGGGGACAGGGGGAGGGTTGGGTGGGGAAAATAACATAAATAACATCATAGGACATGTTATTTTATGTTATTCAATCAGAGAAGCCCAACAAGAGCAGCTCAGTACTCTTTACAAAGTGACGAAGCCGGGAAGGGGCCCCACTTTGGCTACATGTCTCTTTGCTCAAAGGTTGAGATTGTCATTTTTAGGGGGTGGGGTTTATTTGGAGCTATCAGGGGAAGGGGGTGGAGCTAACAGACATATACATGGGGCCCCGGCTGCATCGCTTTCTGGAACGGGAACATACTGCCGGGACCTTTCAGGAAGAAATACAGAGGCTAGTACTGCCAATCCAAAACTATTGGCCCAGAAAATTGACGTAGAAACCAACATGGACGACAGTTTAACGTTAATTCAAGCTGCAAGCTGCTGATGCTAAAAGCAACACTTTAAATTTGACCCTCCCGATCCTTCCCCCGCGGGAAAAGCAGCAAATATTTTTGCTTCAACAGCACTTTCTCTCTTTTTTTTTTAAGGCAAAGTAAGTTTCTGGTCGACCCGGCAGATGCTTCTGTTACCAACAAAACACATTTCTCTTTTTACCGCATCAAGGTTCACATGGGCATAGCTTCATAGCGGCTAACCTTCTCGCCACCGCCTCCGCTGCCACACTCTCCTTTGTCGTACCACCACTTGTTTTTCAATTTGTCCAACAGGCCTTGCTCATTGAGTTTTAACACTGCCAGGTTAACTGCACTTCTTGAAAACGATAAAACATATTTGGTGAGAGGGCGTGAGTATGCTGTCCAATTTGGGAGGGAAGGAAGAGAGAGGGGGGAGAGGGGGAGGAGCAGCATTAAGAGAGGGACAAAGGTGGAAAAGTGCATATAAGATTACATCCCATCCCAGGACCCAGACGCACACTGAACACAAATCTCTGCACTGTCTCGTGTAATGGTATTTACTGAAGCTAGTGCTAGCTAGCTGTGGAGCGTCAAAACTCAGATTCTCAGTTAAAAATCTGTTGTCGAAGGTTAATTAAGCTTCAGGGATTTGTGTACCTATCATGAATACATTTAAAGATTCGTCTCTGTTTTTTCATCACTTTTGTTTAGCTATAGCATTAGCTTACTTAAGCTAGCAGTTGATGACTTTTTTACTGTCGCAGTTTGTATTTCTGCTGATAAAATTGTTATAACTGTAAACTATTGAGGCCAACGACTTACTATTAAAGTCCCAACAGATGCTAAAACAAGACTAGGCTAAAAAACTTTTTTTTTTCTTTACAATTTCATTTGGGAGACTTCTTTTATTCATTATTGATTTAATTTGCATAAAAAAAAACAGATTGGCCCAGACTGGGGGCTGAGCTAAACTGGTGACAACAATATTACCTTAAAGTATTCTCCAAACATTAATGAAGTTCGACTGACTGTACCCCAGCATGTAGTAATTGTCAGGTATATAAATACAGGTAAAAATACCGTAATACCCAGAATACACGTTACACTGTTTTCTGTTACCCCTTCTGTTTTCACTCCCCTGGTATGGTAGTCAAGCTCGGTAGCTGTGAGGTACAGACAAACCATGCGGTATGTTAGTTTTAGTTTCACTTGTATTAGTTAGCATCAGACCCTCTGTTAGCAACATTTGGTCTCAGAGCTCCATCAGCTTTATAAACTAAACACTTTACTGCTGTTTTCTTTAAATACACAATTAAAATAATTCAATACCTCTCTGTGTTTTATGTCAGTATATAAGCTGTGTCGATATAAAGGATGCAGTTTATATTTTAGGCCTCACAAAGGGTTTCAATAGTACATCTTTTATACAGAAAAATACAATATATTTCTTGTATCTCGTTTATTTTATGGATATTGTGATTGAATTCTCCGCATAAAGCAAATAGATAAATAAAACAGCTTTTGTGTTTAAATGCAAAGTCGGTGTCTCAAAATGATTTTTCAACTGAGTAAAAATTTGAAATATAAATTATAATATTTCTGATGCAGTAATTGATGCTTTTAAATAATCAAACACTGAAAAAACATTTTCATCTGCTGGCTGTTTGAGAAACAGAGACCTTGAAATAACTTACACCTGTTTTGACATGTGTATGATAAATGTATGCTGTCAGCCAATTTAAAAGGATTTCTTGGTATGAAGCTGTTCTGGAAAATCATGATTGACTTGCATAATATAAGCCTGTAAAAACAAGAGTGTGTTTTAATTTCATGGCGGCTTTTGAAGGCTGCTGTAGTGATGATTGGAGACAGAGATCGAGTGTGAAAGATTTGCCTCAGCGTGCATTTTGATCCTCTTAATTTATCTGCATCATTATGAAGAAGAAAAAAAAAATGCTCAGAGATGAAAATGAATCAGAAACACAAAGCAGCACAGCAAATATTTCATCTTATGCTGATGATGATGTTGTTTCCGGAGCCATTTGAAATTACAGACCTGGACAACACTGTTGCCTTGCTCTTCATGTTGCTGGTGTGTTTCCTCACTGATAGTTGGACAAGTAGCTGACAGAAAATGATAATCCTAGAAACAACAATAAGGGGGCCCCGAGAGGGCGGAGGACTACCGTGATCTGTCAGGGACTCCTCCTGGTCGAAGCAGGGGCTGAAAACTGGAATCAGCCAGACTGCAAAACAAACCAGCAGCTGCTCTGCTCTGTTCAGGCCTCATGTGCAGAAGAATTTACAGAAAACAACGAGTTGAGTTTTATTTTGCAGTAAGTTGCAAAGATGGCAAAATTAAGACTTTTTAACCTTCATTTTAACCAATTTTTCTGCAGACCTGAATCAAACACCTAATTCTAACTTTTACTGAATGCGAATGATATAACGCTTTATTTTATTGTGCCTCATTGTGCACCACCATCACAACATCTAGAATAATTTCTGCACCTACTTCTGCATATCATGTATTAGCACCTCCTGTGTGAGCGCAAGTACAGGAAAAATTGTGCACATGATGGAGAGCTTAAAATTTAGTACCACCGTATCAACAAATGGACTGGTCAGAGAACTGACTTTATTATTTCAAGTGTGAGAGACTATCTCATACTCCATTTAGCATCAGAGGTGAGGAGACTGAGGTGGTGACAGAGGACTTGTGTCTTCGTCACTTGTGTCAAGATTAGTCTATTTTTGAGCTTCTTTCACATTGGAAATAAAATTTTAACAGTATTTTATCAGTCTTTGTGAAAGGGGGTTCAGACTTTCTAAACTCACTCCTAAGAACAAGTTGGGAAAAATTGCAAAGATCTTTGGTAAAACTATGGGAAAGAGGCGCGCTGACCTGTATTTATACATGATCAGGATGGCTGTGAAGGTGCACAAGCTTTGCATGGAAGCACTCTCAGTGGAGTTTTGGTTGAGGTGCTCCAAGATCAGAGTAAACTCATTTATTCCCATTGCAATAACTCTGAGAGTAGTCGTGAGAAGAGTGTTTGGATTGTGAGTTGCAGTACGGTGCATGGGAGTGTGCTGTGATATTGTATTTGTTACAGTTGTTAGCGTATTTAAATGGTTTTAAATGCCTATCTTGCTGATTGTCCACCAACTGTGTGTACTTGTACAAGAGTCAATCTTTGTATTCCTTTGCCACCTCTGGTTAGGAGTCAGAATAAATGATGCTGTTAATAATAATTAACTGAGAAAAGCAAAACTTTAATTTCAGCTTTTGTTTCATGCACTCTCTAATTACATAAGACTGATGACAGCTGTGCTCCCCTTAAGTGGGGATGCTCCGAGTCTTAATAAAACCTGCACCTCCTGGGGTTCTCGAACATGTGTGTGTTTTGCCCCAATGTTCTCCACAGGAGGAAATTAAAGCACAAGCAATCATGGGGCTGTTTCACACTGTGCTGCAGACACATGTACACCTGTGAAGTTCTGCTTTTAGTATATTTTTCCTTTCCCCTCGGTGAGGTCTCGCTTTGATCGATGAGCCTGTGGATTGAATGTGCGACTCCCCACAGTAATGACACCGTATTCAGTGGCAGGTCTGTAAATTCCACTATGTGCAGGAGGCAGTGACAGAGTCTGCAACAGCCACCCAGGGCTGCGCTTTCAAATGGCTCCCAAACTGCAATTTCAGTCACTTAGTAGAAACCAATCAGACATGAAGGAAAGCTGGAGTAGCATTAGCAAAAATCTCTCCTAATTACATCTCTTGTAAAAATGCAGGTTATCCTCAAAGACATTTCTCTTAGTGAGTCTAGAGCTTCAAGCATGCCTTTCAAACATGTTTGCCCAAACAGCGAGCACAAGCACAAGGACTTACCTGCTGTGGAGGGCTGCAAAGAAAAAGAATGAAATAACCAGCGCTGCCTCATAACGCCGACTCCCACACATGCATGCAACAAACACAGATGTAAAAAAAGAAAAACAAAGCCACTACTTCTGCCCTGAAACACACATCAAAACGCCCCACCCACCAACACCGAGCAGTAAGAGGACACAGATAGAGATAGAAAAGGCGGCACACCAGGGAAGGTGGAATACCATAACAACACGTAAAACATATTGTTACACTATTCCACCCACCTTAACTGTGAACCCTTGGGTGTAGCTACTCCGTAGCCTTTGGAGTCCAAGTTTCCTCCCACTTTCATTGTGTCGCAGGGTTTTCGCTGCTCTGTGTATTCATTCATGGTGGACTCCAGCAGGAAGGCGTATTTCCCTTTGGATTTTCGGACTCGCGCCACGCCTTCCGCCGTTGTCTTGGTGAAGACTGTGGGCTCGGCAGACTTCATGTATCCCCACATCTTCTCATAGACGGCGATTTTTGACCGCTGTGGGGTTTTGAGGGGGATGGAGGTTCAGAGGTGGATGTTGAATGAGAGATTGAGTAAAGAAAGCATATTCATATATGACATTCAAAACTGGGATTACTGAATTACTGGGACATGTGATTACCAAATTCATCCCACAAAGTAGAATGTGCACTTTTGTTTATCTAAGCTGTGTCCAAAATTTACCAAGTCCAACAAGATGGCAGAGAATAAAGACACTAAATGCTGCACTTGAGTGTATTGCAGAGGGAAACAGCCTTGCCATCTTTTTAGAGCTGTAATCTAAAGCTTGAGGCTGTCAATCTTAATCTACAATCCCATATGAACTTTTTTCCTATTTTTTGGGGCGATTTTACCTTTTATTGATAGTACAGGGTGAAATGTGGGGAGATAGAGAGACAGGGGGGGAGGACATGTAGCACATGGTCGGGGCCGGACTTGGGCCTGCAACCGCTGCGGGGATCGTGGTCCCCATACATGGGGCGCCCTAACCCACTTGGCCATCTGCGCTCCCCACTTTTTTCCTAATTTAATATCTAAAAAGAAGGCACATGTGGGCGCTTTATACCATTGTGACTTTAGGGGTCTGAAAATTTTGCTTTGGCAAAAGAAAGTTAAGCGGAGAGGAAACTTTCAGAATAAAAGCATTGTGGTAAAACGCAAGATGTCACCAAACGGAAGGATACTCTTACTTTGAAAGGCATCTAATTATTAAGGGGGGAAACACCGCTTGAATACAAATTGCTTTTGTCATCTTTTTTAGCGTGTTACATGTAACCCTCTTGATTTCTATAACAGGCCTTAATATTATTACCAATTCAATTTATGCAACACTTTATTGAATCTCTTATCTCAAAGCTGCGTATCTGAGTGAACTTCCGCCCTCAGATCGATCAGGTTTTATCTTATCTTATAACATCCGCCCTGATGACCTCTTTAACAACCTGCAGCAACGCAGAAATGTGTAACTACATGAACTTCTGCTACAGAGCATCACCGAGGGCAAACATAAGACAAACTAAGACGGTGCTGTTTTCATTTTTACAGCACAGTACCTGAGATCATGTGTTTGTACCTGTCTGACCATTTACATCCACTCACCCTGAAGAACTCTTTGGTGGATCCAGAGTCCAGAGTACCGTAGGCGATGTCTGTCTGCTTGGCCAGGTCCTCAGCGCTCTCAATGGGGGAAACCATCCTCTCCACAGTGAGGAAGGCAGCCAGGTTAGCCGTGTAGGAGGAGATGATGATGAGGGTGAAGAACCACCACACTCCTCCCACGATTCGACCCGATAGTGATCTTTGAAAGGCAGCAAGGAGGGAGAAGAGGGTTTCAAGAGAGGAGAAGGTTTATTGGGGTGTTTGGAGGAGAAGAGGGGCGACAGAGAAAGACAGGAAACATCCAGTCAGTGTTGGGTAATACATAGAGAGAATGAAGGCGACTAAAAGAGATGATGATGAGTGTGTGAAGTATGAGGCAACAAGCACCACAAGGTGGAGCTCTGACAACACGCAAACCTTCCTGTGCTTTTATTTTCCCCTCATTAGAGCACATTGCCTCATAAAAAATACCCTCATGTTGACCAGCGATAAAAAGAAAAGGTTGGCCACTCCTGCCCCCACGTCCCTGTTCCCCCCTTTGTGTCTTTGTGTTTATTGCTAAGAGGAAAAAGAGCTGCGGGTCCCCCCGGCCGGCATGGCGGCACCACTGTTCTCTCCTTGTTTGTTGGCTCAGGGGAGACAGATAGCCCGCTGCTCCGGAGCAGCAGAAGGTCGTGAGGAGAATCTTAAAGCATAAATGCTGCATTGAGGAGAACAAACAAGATCTCCCCTCGGTGCAAATCAAACAGTGTAGGATACAAAACCCTTAGGCCTTCTTGTCAGATGGTAAGAGGGATGGGGGTACGAAAGAGGCATCACTGTTTGGAGGGTATTTCCACTTATGTCTCAGTGCAATCTGTCCACGCTTCATGTCCTCACAATTCATACAGCTCCTGTATGCAGGTGCGAAGTCTATCTAAACGTTGATGGCGCCTTCGTCTCACCTGCTTCTCTGTCGCACAGCACACTGCTTCCCAACGTTTAAACGCTTGAACGCCGTTATTGCGAGAAACCTTATCTTGAAGGCTTTTGTCAATACGAGTCTCACTCAGAAACATCAGTCTAACCACCAGAATCGGCAGGGAAACCTGTTTTCTCAGTCCAAGCTTTACCCATGAAATAGACTTACTTGACGTATTAGCTCTGGATTTGAATACAAATGACTTCCTTCTCTTTCATTTCACCCACACTCTCCATTTTTCTTCTCCCCGAGAGATGTTTGAGTATTTCTAAGAGAATTTAAGTGTAAAATAATGACTTAAAAGGAACGAGGGAGGAGGGAGAGTGAATGATAAGATGTGAGGATGTCCTCTCCTCTGCTTTCTTTCTACTTCTTCTTCCCACCTGAATAAAAAAAAAAAAAATCCCCTCATTCTCCTTCAGACTTTCTCCGCCGTTTCTCCCTCTTTGCTATTTTTTTCCCCGGATGAATGCAGTAGAGGATGGTGGGAAAGTAATAACAAGACCAGAGGAGAAGCGTCTCTGCGCAGTGTGTTTGCTGGCTGATACCACTGACTTCCATCCACAGTGACACACTGGTGTGTCTTGATGGGCTCGCAGTAAACAGAGAGGACGCGGGGGGAGTTTGGTTGATTTTAAGGCCACGTCAATGTTTCCAGTGTCTTCTTAACTTTGATTAATGGCTACAGTGTGTCACACTGAGGGATTATATTAACATGATGAAGACAATGAAGATTAGACTCATGAGGGGAGAAATGATCGGACTTTGAAATTCTCAGATAGAAGCTGCGGTGGTACGGCTCATGAACCATTTGTCAGTGCGTTTACATGCACAGCTTAATCGGACTAAGCTCATACTTTGTTTTTTTTTTCTGCCAAATCAGACTTCTCTCCTTGTCTGCGTATACATGCAGCTGAGAAAATAGAATTATTGACATGAACGTGCCCTCCTCCACAAAACTAGGGGGCGATATGGTCTTTTTAGCGGCACTGTTTCCACTATGGAAACATGCTTCAGCTATGTTGCAGTTGCTTCTGAGTCAAAAGTTCTTTAAATGATAGCGCTACTTCTTCTCTGGCGTTTTTCTTCCGAGGTTACAGGGGCATGGCGCACATGCGTTGTCCAATCATACCCTGACTAGGCTGGTTACATGGTAGAGAAAATCAAATTCCAATTGCATTAGCTGGGTGTCTTAATCAGAGTTCTCAAACTCCAATTATAGCCGGACTAAGGTGTTTACATGCACTTCAGTTGTCCGGTCTTAATTGGAGTAAGGCATTAATTCGGTTTCTTCAAGTGTCATGTAAACGCACTGACGGATACAGATACCATTAGCAAGTCAAGAAAAAAAATTGTTTTTTAATAGTCACTGCATTACTTTTATTGCTGATCTCAAAGAAAATATGACCACTCCCTGCTCTAAATGTCACATAATGTTGTATAATTGTTGCGATTTTGCACCAAATATCACCAAACAACAAACAACCTGGTTCTGACCCTCCAAAATAAAAGTCCTGGGGTGTGCAGATGGCCTAGCAGGTTAGCGCACCCTACCTATGGGGACCACAATCCCTGCAGCGGTCATGGGTCCCAAGTCCGGCCCTGACCATGTGCTGCATGTTCCCCTATCTCCACATACTTCCAACCTATCCTGTCAATAAAAGGCAAAAACTCACCAAAAAAATGCTTTAAAAAAATAAAAATCTTTACATGAGGCCCCAAGGTGATGCAGTAAAGCAGGTGTCACCCTGAAGACCCTCAAGTTTAAGAGAGTGGATCTCCACTGAAGCCTGAGGTCGAACAGTTGTTTGACTTTTGGAAAATAATCCAGTTTTACCCTGAGTGATTATTTATTCAGACGTCTTCATCAGTATATGACTACAGTATCTAAAAACTCCTCTCATGAAACTCTAGCACAGTCAAAAATAATAAAAAAAAGATGTTAAAGTGAGTGTCTGGATCGAAGCTCTGATGCCTGAGAGGACTGTCAATAACTTGCATGTCTTCTGTTACACACCCTTGTTAAATATAAATCCTCCGAAAAAAGAATTTCAGCGCCGTCAAGACGGTGAAAAAACTTTGGGGAGAACTTGACTGTAATGATGTACGAGCCGGGTGTTCCCATGAGTGGAGGAAACAAGAGACGCAGACAGGGGAAGTATTAAAGCGAATAAAGTGGAAACAAAATAGAAATTGGCTCCAGTGTTGGAGAATTCTTCGCTGCAGTCCAGAAAGCCTCAGGGTATAAAAAAAAAAAAACTGTAAATCTAGACCAAAAAAAGAAGAGGAGGGTTTCAGCAATTATACAGCAATTAGTCAGCAATTTCCCCACTCTGCTTAAATTGAATTAATTCAGCTTTCAGATAAGATATGATCTGAAAAAGTTTGGCATGATTTACATGTTGGCTGGGTGGCATTTCTCCCCTCATCTGCAACAACCTTTAGTATTTATCTGTGTGGGAATGAACTAATCATTCATATAAATAAAACTCATGTCTATTTTTTATCATTTTTCAGTTTAACCCCACAAAGCACCTCATGTTTGCACACACCAGTATTGCTGCATGCAGTACAACTTTATCCCAAATGAGTAAATCACTGAGGGAGTAATACAGGTTTAGAGATGGACGTTCAATTTCAAGCAAACTATTTGTTGTCTGTGCTATTTTCACCTCTGCCTTTCCTGTTGGATTCATCACCAAATTA